GTTCTCTTGAATTCACTTGGAAGTTAGATGTTGTTTCCGATACAGTCCTTTCTAAAACGATTCTTAATTTTTTTTTTTTTTTCCTTTCAGGGGCCAGGTGATCAACATGAGATACCTGGAATATTTTGAGAAAATTCTTCATTTTATTAAAGATAGGATTCTTGTTTATCACGGGTAATCGTTCAATTTTCTTTTTCACGGTAATCGCTAGCTTTGGTAGAGTTTACAGTAGTTGTATCTGTGAAACTTGAAAACTAAGCCTATTGACAGACTAAACAAAGTCTATCAAATGTTGACACAGTGTTTGGAGTTGTAAAGCCTTTCAGTAATGACTTACCAGCCTTCTTTTTTTTTTTTTTTTTAATTTTTTTTTTAACGTTTATTTATTTTTGAGACAGAGAGAGACACAGCATGAACGGGGGAGGGGCAGAGAGAGAGGGAGACACAGAATCGGAAGCAGGCTCCAGGCTCCGAGCCATCAGCCCAGAGCCCGACGCGGGGCTCGAACTCGCGGACCGCGAGATCGTGACCTGAGCTGAAGTCGGACGCTTAACCGACTGAGCCACCCAGGCGCCCCTTACCAGCCTTCTTTTAACAGCTGTACAGAATCCATGAAATGTTTTAATCTTACGATACTGTGACTTTTCTCATCTCCTTCTCTGAAAAGCAGGACGTTTCTTTGAATTTCTTTGTTAGGGGTTTCAGCCGTAATATTCATTCTCTCTCACCTGAAAGGCCATAGAGTGAACCCACAGTGAACAGAACATGGGGAAAAAAGAATTCTGAATGGATAGTTATCACCAAGTAAATATAAAAGTGGCACAAAAACCTAGCAGGATATTTCCGTTTGAGCAACTGTAGAAAGGAAAAAAAAAAAATTCACTTCTAATTTCAAAATTGGTCTATGAGAATCAAGGCATCATCACCAAATTATGACCAGAGACCCGTGCATGTATATACGACCACTGGCCAGCAATCTGTTCTGTTTCTCCGTTTCACCTTCTAGATGGGCTTCTATCTGTTTTCTTAATTGTCATCTGCGGCCCCAAATTCATTAGGATTAAACCATCCCCATATTCAGAAACTTTTGTTTGGGCCCACCATTTTGACTATGGAGCTACTCATAATTGAGGTTGATTCATTAAAGCTTAAGGTAATAGCAAGGAATAGAATTGTATATTACATTTCTGTATTAATTTTACTTGCCATCTGCCTCTGTCTCTGTCTCTTTTTCTCTCTTAAAGAGCTAATAATCCTAAAGGATTGTTGGAAGTCAGAGAGGCTCTGGAAAAGGTGCACAAAGTAGAAGATCTCCTGCCAATTATGAAGGTAAGTTTATCATCAGAATCCTGGTAGGTGTTTTTAGGGGAGAAAAAACACAACTAGAGTACTTTTTAAAGAAGAGCTCATAACCGTTTAATGCATGTGTATTAATAGTGTGCTAGAAGCACTTTAAAATTATAAGCATTCTGAGGGGCACCTATGCGGCTCAGTCGGGGCTGAGTCCCACTTCGGCTCAGGTCATGGTCTCACCGCTCGTAAGTTCAAGCGCCGCATCGGGCTCTGTGCTGACAGCTCAGAGCCTGGAGCCTGCTTTGGATTCTGTGTCTCCCTCTCTCTCTCTGCCCCTCTCCTCACGCTCTATCTCTTTCTCTCAAAAATAAATAAACGTTAAAAGATAATAATAATAAAATTATAAGCATTCTGAAAACACTAACGGAAACACCCTCTGAATAATAACCCAAATCACATAAAACACAGGCATCAGTCTCAAACATAAAAGCAAAGCTGTGAGGAAGCAGTTGATACGGGAAACAGAAGGAAACTTAAAAGTATATACCGTTGAATTCTGCTTCTGGCCACAGTGGAGTACTTGATAGTTGACTGCCTTTCCATACTGTAACAGTTATAAAACTCCACAAAATACAAGGCACCTGTTTTCAGGGGTTGGCAATTACAAGACTGTGATTTTTGAGGAAAGGGAAACACTTTCTGTGAGCCCCGTGTTCACCCCAGCCTTCTACCTGGGATTATTTACTAAACCACTGTGTATGTGGAGCCTAAACAGAGTTTGGTGGTCTTGCTGAGCTAAGGAGGCAGAGATTGGAGTTGGGGTCTGCCGAAATGGCTGGAGTTTACGGGGCAGAGTACAGAAGAGGAGAGAGCGGCTCAAGGTGAGAAGTCCCCAGAGGTCAGCATGGGCGTTCCTTGTCACGCTTGGCTGAGAGCTGGGCTCTGCTCGCTCAGTGAGACCCAGAGGCCCTGCAGACAGTGGCTGCTATGGGCATGAGAGCTGAACGGAGGTATGAGCGGTTTTATACCAGGGTGTGAGAGCTGAAGGGAGGTAGCCTCAGTTTTACACCACTGAGAGACATTGGAGTTGTGACCTTGCCAGAATGGAGGGATCCTGGGAGCACCCTGGGCATTTACTCACAACCCCAGAAAGGACACACCGTAGGTATAAGACCACCTAGAATGAGGTCCACATTCTAGGACAAAGGACAATTTCTTTTTCTTTTTCTTTTTTTATGTTCATTTCCCGAGAGAGAGAGAGAGAGTGCGAGCAGGGGAGGGGCAGAGAGAGAAGGAGATACAGAATCTGAAGCAGGCTCCAGGCTCTGAGCTGTCAGCACAAACCCCTATGCAGAGCTCGAACCCACCAACCGCGAAATTATGACCAGAGCCAAGTTGGACGCTTAGCCGACTGAGCCACCCAGGCGCCCCGAAGGACACTTTCTGAATAGATCACCCTAACAGAAAACCAAGTCTAAGAGGATTAAATGGATCTGCTCGTGATTGGATTGCCTGCCAAAACAAAACTCAACACCCTTTAAAGGAAAGAAACATAGTCTAGACTTCTTAATTATTAGGCAAAGGAAGAAGCAGGAGAACGTGACCCATAACCAAGAAACCAAAACCAGTTAACAGGAACAGACCCCAGGAGATCCAGAAGTTGCAATGAACTCTTTTAAAGTCTTTGTTTCATTAACATGTTCGAGGACTTAAAGGAAAACATGAGCACAATGATGAAGAACCTGAGCAGGAGAATGGAAACTATAAAAAGAACCAAAAGCAAATTGGAGGACGCGGAAGTCAGTGGTGTCAGAGAAGCCGCTACTTTAGTTTTGCATATGGCCCAAGGTTTGTGTGCCAGTCCTCAGCTTTCCTTGTCCAGAGGCTGTCTTCCAGATCGGGACGCCTTATGAGGGTCGTCGTCGTTCCTCAGAGGAGGCCAGAGATGGAACACACTACTCAATAATAATACGGAGAAAGGGTACTGCTAACACACAGCAGCGGGGGGAACTTCAGAAACATTATGTGGGGCAAAGGAAGTCGCATACAGAAGAGTATGATTCCATTTGTAAGAATTTCGACTGATCTAGGGAGACAGCAGAACAGTGATGGCTTCTGAGGAGTGAGGTTTACCTGAAAGGGGTAGAAGACTTTCCAGAATGATGAAACTACACTATATCTTGACTGGACTAGTGGATACATGGGTGTATATATTTGTCAAAATGCACCAAATTATACATGTGAAGTTCATTGTATATAAATTTTACCTCAGTGAAACATACATAAATTAATTTTCTGAGAGATTTGAGCCAGTATCATATGATAGGTAGATAGGTAGACAGATAGTAGCAATAAAAAAGAAATAGAATTCTCATGATAAAAAAAAAAAAATCTCCGCTAGATAAGACTAGTAGATTAAAGACAGTTGAATATCAAATACATGTGAGCTGGAAAATCCAATCAATAAATTCTCCCAGAATATAGTATACAAGGACAAAGAAATATAAAATATGAGAGACGATGAATGCAGAAGATGAAGAACGGACCTGATAGAGATCAGAAAGGAGAGAAGAAAGATAAAGAAACAGAGCGGTTAGTCAACAAAAGTAATAGAAGGAAAGCTTGTGGAGAGATGAAAAGATCAATGCAGGGCCTCCTAGATGTTCAGCATGATGCTCAATATTGACACCTAGACACATTCTGATAAAATTTGGGGACTTCAAGATTAAAGAGAGTTCCTCAAAAACATTAGATGTAGAGGGGAGCCTGGGTAGCTCAGTCAGTTGAGAGTCTGATTCTTGATTTCGGCTCCAGTCATGATCTTTGTGCTGAATGTGGAGGCTGCTTAGAATTCCCTCTCTCTCTCTCTTCCTTTCTCCCTGCCCCTCCCTCTTACTCCTTTCTCAAAATAAATAAATAAATAAATAAATAAATAAATAAATAAATAAATAAAAAAGGTAAAAAATTAGACATAGAATTATGATAAGATCCAAAAACTCCCCTTCTAGGTGTATATTCAAAAGAATTGAAAGCAGGGACTCGGATATTTGTACACCCATGTTCATGGCAGTATTATTCACAGTAGCCAAGAGACAGAAGCAACCCAAGGGGCCATTAATGGATGAATGGATAAATAGTATGTGGCATGGCCATACGATGGGGTATTGTTCAGCCTGAAGAAGGAAGGGAATTCTGACACAGGCTACAGCATGGATGAAGCTTGAGGACATTAGGCAGAGTGAAATAAACCAGTCACAAAAGGACAAATACCCTACGATTCCACTTATATGAGGTGTCCAGAGTAGTCAAATTCATAGAGACAGAAAGTAGAAAGATAGTTGCCAGGGGTTGGGGGAGGGAGACAGAGTTTCTATTTGGGATGATGCAAAAAGTTCTGTGGAAGGTTGGTGGTGATGGTTGCAAACAATGTGAACTTTCCTTTTACTCCTATTATTTTATTTAAATCCAAGTTAACATATAGTGTAATAATGATTTCAGGAATGGAATTTAGTTGTTCATCACTTACATATAACACCCAGCGCTTATCACAAGTGCCCTCCTTAATGCCCATCACCCAGTTAGCCCATCCCCACCACCCAGCACCCCTCCAGCAACCCTCAGTTTGTTCTCTATATTTAGAAGTCTCTTATGGTTTGTCTCCTTCTCTGTTTTTATATTATTTTTGTTTCCCTTCCCTCATGTTCATCTTAAATTCCCCTTATGGGTGAAGTCATATGATATTTGTCTTTCTCTGACTAATTTCACTTAGCATAACACACTCTAGTTCCATTCACATTGTTGCAAATGGCAGGATTTCATTCTTTTTGATCGCCAAGTAATATTCCACTAGTAGTGCAATTGCTGGGTCGTAGGGTAGTTCTATTTTTAATTTTTTGAGGAGCCTCCATACTGTTTTCCAGAGAGGCTGCACCAGTTTGCATTCCCACCAGCAGTGTAAAAGGGTTCCTCCTTCTCTGCATCCTGGCCAACATCTGATGTTGCCTGAGTTGTTAATGTTAGCCATTCTGACAGGTGTGAGGTGCTGTCTCATTGTGGTCTTGATTTGTATTTCCCTGATGCTGAGTGATGTTGAGCATTTTTTTCATGTGTCTGTTAGCCATCTGGATGTCTTCTTTGGAAAAGTGTCTATTCATGTCCTTTGCCCATTTCTTCACTGGATGATATGTTTTTTCGGTGTTGAGTTTGATAAGATCTTTAAGATTTTGGGTACTAGCCCTTTATCTGATAGGTCATTTGCAAATATCTTCTCCTATTCCGTTGGCTGCCTTTTAGTTTAGCAAAACTAAAAGTGTGCAGACACTTATTATCTTGATGAGGTCTGAATGTTCTTAATGCCATTGATCTATACATTCACAAATGGTTAAAGTGGCAAATTTTATGTTACATATTTATTTTAACACACAAAGAGTAAAAAGAACATCTTCAAGCCTCCAGAAAAGAAACAAAAAGAAAGAAAGAAAGAAAGAAAGAAAGAAAGAAAGAAAGAAAGAAAGAAAGAAAGAAAGAAAGAAAGAAAAAGAAAAACTAAGGAAGGAGAATTTCACTGATGCCCAACTTCCTTCCAGCAGCAGTAGTGGATTCTAGAAGACAACGAAGGGAAATTTATTTGAACCTACTCTACCAGTGTTCAAGTGTGAGGGTAAAATAAAAACTGTTTCAAACATATAGTTATTTAGGAATTTCACCAAGTGTAGATTTTCTTTGTCAAAATGATTGAAGGGCATATATACTCTCATCAAATAAGCCCAAGAGAGAAGAGAACATGAGATGTAAGAAATCGTGGTGAACAAATAAACCAATGAAATGAATTGTTAATACCTGATGTTTAAAAATATGTATGTCTGGAATTAAAATACTGGATAATGTCAACATTAGAGGTTAGAGAAAGTAGAGAAAGGAAGTAAAACTGTTACTAAGGTATTTGTTTTTTTCAGTGAGACAGTATAATCACTGACCCATGATATTGACAGAAAAATGCGTGTTTAAAATATCTACACGAAAAATTTAAAGGCAAA